TTATGTAAGCAACACGACATATTGGATGATTGATGTGCAGACTTTGAAATTGCTTGATGAATTCTAGTCAACTTTTACAAAGAAATTTTGAACTTTTTGATAGTTATGCATCATTTTTTTTTCCTCTTGGCTTTGTGTTTATATTTTTAGTGAACTCTTTTGTGGAATACTCCCATGGATTATTTTTGAATGCTGCAAAAACTAATGACGATATATAGTAGTATCAGTTTTTACTTGGCTTGATAGAATTACATTCCATTCTGTTATTGCTAGTGCCTTTACTGTTACACATCAGATTTTACATTTAAGTTGAAATTTATTTTGTTTTATTTCTTGTATTTTACTTTGGAAATGCCTTTTTTTTATTCAATCTGCACTTTGATGATTATACATCTAATGTAATATGGCATGCCAGGCCTAAATTGTTATGGGAGTAAGAATTGTTAGGGTTAGGATTTGTCGGAGAAGATGGGGGTAGTTTAGTATTATCTGAAAATTATTAGTGTATATTGAGACAAAATTAGAAGTTTTAATTTGTGTATAGTGTGAACTGAGTAAATACTGTACACTAAGATAAGTAATGGTGTGTAAATAGAATTACCAAGAATACAACCCTTCCCCATTATATCATATCCTTTGGTTTGGAATAAGAATTAAAAAGACCAATTTACCATTCTTATCTATCCAAGACCATCTCCATCCGTGTACCAAATCTATCACCAAATTTAAATTTGACAAAAAGTATTCTCTTTTCTGCTCCTACAGTTTCATTAAATAGATATCAAATTGAGGATATCACAAAAGTTTCACCAAACTAAGGATGCTTTATGCCTTTCATCAAAACACTAGTTATTGCCGTTGTATGTTCACCACCGGGTATCCCTCTGGATGTCCTCCTGAATGACCACCTCAAGACAAAATTTTATGAAAATTTTGTGAAAATTTTACACTGGATGGTCGACTAGCCAGTTGTCCACTCGGTCGACCGGTGATTTGATGAAAAGTCAAAACTCTCCGTTGGAACAGATGATATGAAAGAGAGTTTTTACTCAAATTTGGTAAAAAATTTGATGCACCGTTGGAGATGCTTTAATACACATATATATATATATATATACTTTAGGGTTCAGCAAACCACCCATTTGTTGCTCAACACATCGATAGAGAGAAGAAGGAGCCCTGATTTTGCAAGTGTAGATCTACTTTGATTTTTTGGCCAATTTCCATTGCCAAAGCTTCTTTCCGGTGATAATTACCATTTCCTTTTACTTTGCTCTTTTTTTTGGGTTTTTATAGAGTTTTCCATGTACGATTTTTATCTAAAGTATTTGCAGCCCTTTCACTGATTTTTGTTGAATTTGGACTTACCCTTTTCTTTTTTTTTCGAAGTCAATTTATATATATATATGTAAATTTTTTTATTGTTTTATATGTTCTTGATCAAGAAAATAATGTAAATATTTACAAATAATCTATTTCATAGCTTTTTTGAAACTTTTTCATTGTTATTGTCAAGGGCTCGATTTCTTTTATTTATATTTTTTTATAGATGTTTTTGGTTGTAGCTAAATAATCATTCTTCTTGAGTGGTTTTTGTTTTATTTGTTCTTCTGGAAACAATCAAGCATAACAAACCAAACTGATTTATTTATTATTTTTTGATTTTTTGATTTTTTTTTTAATTTTTTTTTTTTTACATTTGGTTGGTGTACATCTGTTTGTTTAGGTGAAGAGTTTGATTTTTTTTTTTTTTTTTTTTTTTTTGCATTTTTA